GTCTGGCTTATTTCATTTACCCTAATGTCTTTAAAGTTTAGCCATATTATAACATACATCAGGACCTTATTCCTTTTTATGGGTGACCAATAGTCCATTGTACCTATATGGCCCATTTCGTTTGTCCATTCATTAGCTGATAGACTTTTATGTGGTTTCCACTGTGGGTTATTACGAATAATGCTGCTATGAACATTTGTGCCCAAGTTTTTGTATGAATACATGTTTTTAGTTCTCTTGGTTGTATCCCTAGGAATAGAATTGCTGGGTCATATGTTTAACTCTATGTTACTCTATTTTTAACTTTTTGAGAAACTGTCAAACTGTTTTCCACAGCAGCTGCACCATTTTACATTTGAACCACCAGTGTGTAAGCATTCCAATTTCTCCACATCCCTGCCAACATTTATTTTCAGTGTTCTTGATTCTAGCCATCCTTGTGAGTATGATTCAGTAATTTTTAAGTGTGTTAAAGATTCTGAGACTAAAATGTTTGAGAGTTGTTTTTCTAACAAATAGCTTTAAAAACATTTAAGAAAACATTAAAAAAAAAGTTCAAACCAAGTTCATAGATACAGAGGGCAGATTGGTGGTTGCCAGAGGTAGGGGTGTGGGGGACAGGCAAAATGGGTAAAGATAATAAAAAGGTACAAATGCCCAATTATAAAACAAATATGTCTTGGGCATATAATGTACAGCCTGGTGAATATAGTTAATAATATTGCATTGTATATTTAAAAGTTGCTGAGAGTAGATCTTAAAAGTTCTTATTACAAGAAAAAGAAATTTGCAACTGTGTGGTGATGGATATTAACTAGACTTACTGTGGTGAACTTTTTGCAATATACACATAGATTGCATCATTATGTTGTACTCCTGAAACTAATATAATGCAAAAAACCTTAAACATAATAACCACCAATAACTCCACGATGTTGTGCAATACCAGGGAAATCAAGTTTGCCTGGAAGAGATCCAAGTTCCACCTTTGTACCAGCACAATTATTCAGTGTCTCCTTTAACTCTCAACCTGCCCTGTTTAGATGACAAATTATATAAACACCTTAGTTATGAATCTATGTTCACATGCCCCCAATTGATGTGAATATATCTTTTTACAATTCATTTATTGAATACGAGATCCAACGTTGCATTTGATTGAGTGAGGTGTCTTCAGAAACTTTTAATCTAAATCAGTTCTTCCTCTACTCTGTTTCTTTCATGCTAGTTATTTATTGATGAAACTGGGTAATTTGTGGAATTTCCCACATCCTTACCTTGGCTGATTATATTTTCTTGGTATCGTTTAATTTGTTTCTTTGTTCTCCATATTTCTTCCCATTGGGTAATTAGAACTAGATGTTCGATTAGATTTAGGTTCAAATTTGTGCAAGAATATTTCATAGATGGTGTGCACTTCCTATTGCATTGCATTAGGAGGCCCATGGTATCTGGTGGTCCCACTTTTTGTGATAAATCAGTGGGTTCAGGTTTTGTTACCTCAATACATCCAGCATAAAGTTTCCCATCAACATTCTACCCCATAATTGTAACAACTATAGATGATTGTTGCCTCCTCTCAGTGCTTCATTAGGAGTTGTGATTACTGACTTTCCAATTCTATCAGGCCTGTTGCATTTGTTACCTTTATAAACCATCTGGGCGTCTTGAAATATATAGCAGAATAAATGCTTGATTCCCCCCCCCTTCTAATTTACCAATTTTTAAAATAAAGAGTTGGTACTTAGCTGATCCAAAGGTAAATGATGAGAGATTTTTTTTCTTTTTGAGTATTTCTATGAACTCATGGATTTTGCCTATAGTTGATATATTTCTTTTTTAAAAATATATTTTTTATTGATTTCAGAGAAGAAGGAAGAGGGAGAGAGAGATAGAAACATCAATGATGAGAGAGAATTATTGATCGGCTGCCTCCTGCACACCCCGTACCCTGACCAGGAATTGAACTGTGACCTCCTGGTTCATAGGTTGATGATCAACCACTGAGCCATGCCGGCCAGGCTATAGTTGATATATATCTATCCAATAGTCATTATTCTTTTTTAAATCCAAATTGTTCCACCTTTGGCCAAATGGTGCCCCATCATCTTTGATCTTGGGGTCTTTTGACATAACCTCAGTAGTATTTGATAGCTACCTGGCTTTCTGGCATAATAAAATGCCACGCCATCCCTGCCCCAGTCCTGAAATCAATAGTTGCCTAAAGAAGTCCTGGTTCCTCTTAGTGGACAATGGCATTTAGATTATGAATTTAAAGACGAGGGTTGCTCACAATCATTAGATTGTCATTGCTTCTTGGCTTTTTCAGTGAACACAACTAGGATATATGTATTTTGTAGAAAGATAAAATTTAATCATAAATTCATACTATAATTGCCAATTCAAAATTTTGATTACAGAACTTATACCTACCTATACTGATTTGATATTTGTGTCTCTTTTATCTCTTACTGAAGACCTTGGTTTCCAACAATATTGATATTTATTTGCTATTTTATATACATGTATGTAAAATGTACATAATGTATAAAATAGCATCTAAATAACAATACTAGCGTTATTACTAACAAATATTATACCTACATGCAGTTTGGTCTGTTTGCTATTCTTTTTTGTCCTTAGGATATGTCACCATAAGGATATATAGTGAAAATAATGAGTTTTAAAGTCAGCTTCTTATTGTTCTGTGCAGTTATAGGAGTAACCCCATGAATACAGGGTGGAAAAAGGTAAGTTTACAGTTATGAGTCTGAAAAACACAGATTTTGTTCTTATATTTTTATTTATTATTGTATTATTTTCCATATAAACAACTGTAAACCTACTTTTGCCCCACTCTGTACTTCGATCAATGGCTTTTTTTCTTTTTAAAAATTATGTAAAACATGCACACGATTCCAAAGTCAAACTATAAAACACAGTATATAAAGTCTAGCTCCCATTCCCATTCCTTTCACCCTGTTCTCTTATGTGTGACCATCTTTACGAGTTTGTAATTTATACTTTCCTTGCTTCTTCTTTAAAATGTAAGCAAATGCACACATCTTTCTAAGAAGAAAGGCAACACATACTGGTACATGGTCTCAGCCTTGCTTTTTCACTTAATTTGTAGTAGAGTTCCACGGCCTTCCACAGAGATGGTCTTCATTCCTTTGTCCAGCTGCACAGAGCTGCATTGTGTGGGTGTACGGTGGTCTATTCAACCAGTCCTCTGTGGATGGCCATGTGGGGGTCACAACTGCATGACTTGAACTGTGCCAGGCGCTGAGGGTAAGTGCAGGGTGTCTGGCCTCAGAAAACTGTGAGTGTAGGGGGAGACCTCTGCAATACAAGTACTTTCCTCATAAGGGAGTGAGATCTTGGATCCACTTAGCACCAGGAACCCCTGGAACAGGGAAGACAGGCTCCCACACAGGACGGATGCAATAACTGTCTGTGGGTTGGCATCTTGCTGGTCCTTAGTATGGGAGAACCCCCTTGGGAGAAAATGATTTTTATCTCTATTTGAAATTGCTTAGAAAATCACGAGTGCCACCGTTTGGTCAGAAAAGGCAAGACCAAATGAAAGAGGCAGAGAAGGGCCCTAACCTCGATTCCCCCGAAAAGAGATGTAACTTAATACAGAAGCTGTGGTTTAACTACAAGCGCTAACATCTGTACAGTATATTTTAACACTGCGCAGAGTGCTCTGAGCAGTTTGCATATTTATTTAACTCCTTTATTTCTCATAACAAGCTTAAGTAGGGGCTAAATAAAAATTTAAAAAAAGAAAAGAAGGGGACATCTGTAATACTTTCAACAATAAAGCAACAATGCTAAAAAAATCAATGCCAAAAATATAAAATAAAGAGAGAAGTAGTGTCTATTATTTACCCGCATTTTACAGTTAAAGAAATTAAGGCACAGAGAGGTTAGCGAACTTTTTTTGCCCGAGGTCACACAGCGAGGGAGGGAGGGAGCAAAGAAGGAAACATTGGATACTTGCAAGCAGTCCCCTCTCCAAGGATGCTGAAATCTCTCCGCAGCCTCACCACTCGCTGGGGGAGAAGAACCTACGCGTGACATCTCCCTCCCGCCCTTCCTCCCCGGCCCCCCCCCCCCCGCCCCGATCCCCACAGGAAAATGCTTTGGGGGATTTCTATGCACTTTTGGGGGCTCGGAGGCTGGAGGAATCCCAAAGCCAGAAGGCGACCTGCTGGGTGCACCGCAGAGGCTGAGCCAGCCCGCCGGTCTGCGAGACAGCTGCCACCCCCGCCCCCACCCTCACCCCCACCCCCACGAGCCGGCTCTCCGACCCTCCCGGTGTCCGACGCCCATCTCTCTGCGCTCGTGCCCAGGCCTTGGCACCAATGAAGTTTGCTATCCCGGGCTCCTCCTATAAAAATATATGAAGCCACGTACGAACTTCCAAAGTTGTTGAGGTACGGGGACCGGCCTTCTACTCTCAGAGAACCCACTGCAGACGCCCTGTGAGACCGGCTGGGACGAGAGGGTTGTGGCTCCCTTCCTCATTCAAAACCGTATTGAGACTAGCTGCATGCAGGGCGCAGCTGCTCGCTCGCCCGCCCGCCCTCCCTCTGGCAGCAGCCGCCGCCTGCCGCCCAGCCCCAGCCCCGCAGACCGCAGCACCCGGCACCCACCCGCAGCGAGGGTGCCCCCACCTGGACCAGATCACGCGCCTACAGACCCCGTAATAACTACAACCAGAAGGTCACGGCTCATTCTAAAGAATAGTTTGGGTAACATTAGCTGCTCTAGAGACAACTCTGGATTATAAAGATCCTTCAAGTTCACGTCAGACGGGTCATGTGCCGGAAGCGTAACAAGGTTCATGGGCGGCACATCTCACACAGCAGCGTGAACACCCAATCATCACGCTTATGAACTCCGAAAGGATCGGCTTAGAGTTTTGGTTAAGGAACCTCGGATACAGCCCACTGAGTTTACAGAAAGGGTGACATACATAGTCCGCATGTACTCAGTGTAGACACACAAGATCATGTATATTTTTAAAATACTGCCGATACCCTGTGATTTTATTCTTTTGTTTCTACCTTAATAAGTGAAAACAGAAACAAAATTAGCGAGCGGATCATTCTCTATGCAAATTTCTCGCAATAGCCCCGCCCTTTATAAAACCCGACTCTGTATTGCTTTACGACAGTATGTCGTGAAATAACGGAGCATTGACGTAGCATTGGCGGAAGCTAGCCTTGTGCTTTACGGCAACGACTCTAGGTAGGTTCGGGTCCGGATAGGCTCAAGAGGTGCAGGGCGGGCTGCAGGTGTGCAAGGGCTGCAGGTAGCGGCATCTGTTTTCGTATGTAGCATTAGGGTTTGTTTTTGTTTGTTTTTGAGTCTTCAGGAAGGCGAGAGTAATCCCCCCACTTCACTGCTGGGAGTCGGAGATTCTGTTACTGGCCCTCCCTTCCCTGCGCCGTTTCCTTTACGCACACTTGACTCTTAGGCAGGTTAGACTCGCCCTCCCTTCTAGAATGATGTCTCGTCGTTTGATTTGGTTTTAGTTCTGTTCTTTGGGAGAAGTCCAGCTTCCGGTGCCTCCTGAGCGGACCCCCCTCTCGCCTCCATCTTCGTCCCCCGGGGAGCCCGGCCCCTCGCTCGCCGCGGTCGGGAATGGAGCGGGATGGCTCTCCGCGGTCTCCACCGCCGGAGGGCTCTTCCCCGCCTGGAGAGGGCCCTGCTTCTGACCTCGGACAGGCCCTGTCCCAGATCCTGCACCGTCTGACCGGCCCGGAGTCCCGACGGGGCAGAGCCAGGAATGCAGCTCTCCAGGACCTCGGCGCTCTCCTGGAAGCCACAGAGTGCGATCGGTTATTTGCGGGGAGTGACACGCCGCTCGGCGGAGCGCCCGGGACGCTGGGGGAGGTGGCAGCCGCCCTGGAGAAGCATGCAGCGCCCCGCAAGGAGGAGGAAGGCGGAGGGGATGGGTGCTCTGCGGTGGCCGAGAAGGCGGCGGCGGTTGGGCTGCTGTTCACCAAGCTCCTGAGGAGAGTGGAGTCGGCCAAGGAGTCCCCGGGTTGCCTCGCAGGGAAGAGAGGCCTGCGCCACCTGGCCGGACCCATCTATGTGTTCGCCATCACTCACAGTCTGCCGCAGCCGTGGACCAGGCCGGCGTCTCGGGACGTTGCTAGAGAGGTGCTCGCCTTACTGCTGCGCGTTACTGAGTGTGGTTCTGTGGCAGGATTCCTCCACGGGGAACACGAAGGCGAGAAAGGGAGGTTTGCTGAGATAATGGGGCTTCTCCAGCCCGATTTGAATAAGTAAGTACCTACCCCTGCAGAAAGGGCCAACGGGGGGAACTGCAGGCTGTTTGAGAATGTGAGAGCGCAAAGGCTGTTGGAGCAGACCTCTTAAGGCCCAGAAAGGTTGGGTCTCTATAAATGACATGTTGCCCTAGCCGGTTTGGCTCAGTGGATAGAGCGTCGGCCTGCGGACTGAGGGGTCCCAGGTTCGATTCCGGCCAAGGGCATGTACCTTGGTTGTGGGCACATCCCCAGTAGGGGGTGTGCAGGAGGCGGCTGATCGATGTTTCTCTCTCATCCATGTTTCTGACTCTCTATCCCTCTCCCTTCCTCTCTGTAAAAAATCAATAAAATATATAAATGACATAGGCAGCGAGTGGTAAATTTGACATTAGGATACAAGTCTTCAGACTCCACTTTCTAGTGTTCTTGTCGGTCCTCCTGACGACTACCCTGGAAATGGGAAGTTCTGTCTCATTTATTTAGATTGAACTCTCTGAAATAAGATGGAGGTGGGAGCTTGGAGAGGATTTAAACTTGGTAGTTTAAACTTAGGAATCGTGAAAGTCATCACTAGTAGATAGGGAGGGATAGTTATTAGATATGGAAGCAGTGTTTGGGATGAAAAATATAAGCTTTAGATTGCTATTAGATAAAGTATTTTTTTAAAAAAAATCTTTATTCTGTCTTTCTCCTTTTTTTAACACTTGTTTTTTTAAACACTTTATAGAGAGGAAGGGAGAGGGATAGAAAATTATAAATAAAGAGGGAGAAACCTCCATCAGCTGCCTCCTGCACACCCCCAACTGGGGATCAAGCCTGCAACCAAGGTACATGCCCTTGACCGGCATTGAACCCGGGATCCTTCAGTCCACGGCTGATGCTCTGTCCATTGAGCCAAACCGGTTAGGGCTAGATAAAGTATTATGTTGTGAGTTTCCGCTTGCTACTCTGTGTGTTAGTATTTGTGATGAGTGGACATTTGTTCCTGTCCAAGATGACCATGGAGACATTTGATTTAGCCAAAAGGTTCTTGAAATGTGGTCTTTTCCAAAACGTCCACAAGACATTTGGTCCATGCTAGCTCATCTCCCTAACCCATGTGTTAGGACCAGCAAGGCTGTCTAGTGGAGAAGGGTTATTATTGGCAATACAGGCACAGCACAATTATTGGACCAATAAAATGTGATAGTATTTTATGTATGAATCCTGCAAACCGGGAGTATAAATAAACGTGGGTTCTTTGGGCCCAGCGACATTTGCTAAGTGTGGACATTGTTGACAGGACCAAATGTCGGGCTGTTTGGCATGGACCAAAGATGCTCATGGATGTTTGGACCTAATGTGCCGCAAGGGTATCGTAGCACTGCAGTAATAGAAAACTGTGTGCAGAGCTGTCATTGCACTAGGAACTTGGAATTAAAAGGCTTAGTTTTGAGGCTGGTGGTGCTTCCTTTTATTGCTTCTGAGTAGGACCAGGTCAAATAAGCTCTTCGATCCTCAGTTTCATTATTTGTAACATAAAGGTAATATTGCCTGTTACAGTTATTTTGAAGATTAGTTGAGTAATGTGTGTAAACTCATTACTTGCTGTTCAGATTTACAAACTGCTGTTCAAATTTTGATTCCCTTATAATAATAATAATAGTAACAACAACAGCAACAAGAATCTGAAGACATTTTTATTAGTTATCTCTCCCTTCTCAACATATCCTCACTGTAGCCACTTCCACCATTGCCACAGATCCTTTGCATTGCTGTGCTTATGAATGGCTTCTTCTCATTGGATAAGCTTTAGACTCAGAGCTCTGGGTAAATGTTAAATGCATGTAGTGTAAGTTCTGTAAGTTATTTTGATTTAAGTCTTAAAGTGTATGCTATTAACATCAGGAGTTACCTTATGTGGGATGTATTTTTTTCAATGACAAGGACATACTCTGTTTAGCTTAATTTTCTTTGCTAGTTAACACCATGTCACTGTACTTAATTTGGCTTCACATTCCCACTTAGGGAATCCTGGAAGAATAACCCTGCCACCAAACATGTTTTCTCCTGGACTCTGCAACAGGTCACTAGACCCTGGCTGAACCAACATCTAGAAAGGATACTTCCCCCATCCTTGCTCATCTCAGATGACTATCAAATTGAGAACAAAGTCCTGGGTGTCCATTGCCTCCATCACATTGTGCTTAATGTGGTAAGCAACCTCTGCTCTGATGGACAGACTGAGTCATATGGCTGTTCCCCATCCATGATGTCACTAGTTTATTTTGCCCTTTTATTAACTAACTTTCTATTATTGCAGTTATGTGACTAAATTCGCTTATTTATGTTTTTTCTCTTTATATTCATTCCATCTGCCAACCTAGTAGAGGTTATATCTCATAGGTAATATATATAAGAAACATGGGCTATTATTGTGCATATAGGCCACTTTCAAACTGAAAGATTTGAGTAATTAACAGTTGACTTTCAAGGATCAAAAAAATCAAACTGGCAGGGGTTATATTCAGATGTGCAAGCTATTACTCGAGGAAGTTTGTATATTTCTTTTTTAACTGTGTGTCATAGAGCTTTTAAAATACACACAGAAGTAGAGAGAGTGGTATAATGGATCCCATATACCCATAATTCAATTTTTTAAATTATCAACATTTGCCTGCCTTTTAATTGGGTGATTTGTCTGATTGCAGCCAGCTGCTGATTTGCTCCAGTATAACAGGGCCCAGGTCCTATACCATGCCCTTTTCAACCATCTGTACACACCGGAGCACCACCTCATTCAGGTAATTGTAAGATTTGTTGGTAACTGAGTCTAAGTTCTCAAATTTGAGTGGAAGGTGGCATTATGTGAGTAAGAATAGTTGAGAGACATTTTCTTGGGGAGTGAGGATGATAACTAAAAGCCATTGCCAAGTTGAAAATATGAAGGTAGCAGTGACTGGTGAAAATATCTCCATACCAAGCCACCATCCACATTCTTGAGTACCCACAGAAAAGCCAGTGTTTTTTCTTTATCTGGGTCAATTACATATCACTTGGGGGCAACTTTATGTCTGAAAAGTTCTATTTTTATTAATTAAGTGTCTTTTGTGGCTGACTTATTATAAACACACACACTTGAAATCCCTTGTATGTTGGATGTGTTAGTGTCATTTATTCTTCCCTCCAATAGAAATTGAATGCCTACTGGGTGCCAGTAACCATTGTAGGTTCCAAGAGTGAATGAATCAGACAGGATTTCTTAGAGCCAGAAACCCTTTGGGAGATGTTTATGTGAATATAAATGTTTATACATATGTCTACAGTATAAAGTGATAAATCTATTAAAAGAGGTTTGTATAAAGTGCAGTGGGTGTCCAGCAATAAGCAGCTAACCAGGTTTGGTGGTGGTTTTAGGAGGATTCCAGAGGAGGTGGTATTTGCTTATGAAGGATAAATTGGAGTTTTGATGGGGAGGAGGAGGAAAATATTCTCACAACAGAAGGAACAAGTTATAAACAAGTTACATAAAATGAGAGGTAGAAATAACCATATTTCTTTTTTTTTTAAATTTGTTTTTATTGATTTTTAGAGAGAGAGGAAGGGAGAGGGATAGAGAGATAGAAGCATCAATGAGAGGAAATATCATCGATCAACTGCCTCCTGCATGCCTCCTACTGGGGATTGAGCCTGCAACCCGGGCATGTACCCTGACTGGGAATTGAACTGATGACCTCTTGGTTCTTGGGTCGACATTCAAATGCTGAGCCACACAGGCTGGCACCATGTTTCTTGTTTTATGCCTACCCACATAATTGGACACAAATGAGGACCATCTTAGATTCTATTTAGAAGCAGTTTTGTTTTAAGTACATGTAAGTATCACTTGGACTTAGTAATACAGTGACAATAGGCTCAGACTCCTAAAATTTGGGTTAAAGTCCCAGCTCTGCCTTCCCATTTTATAGCTGAGCAAAGAACAGTCCTGAGGAGAAAGTATTAACTTATTTGGGACTGTCAGATAGAGATAATGTAAAAAAAAAAAAAGAGAGATTAAAAAATATAAAGTAATATATACTGAATGTTTTATAACTAGTATGTTTTAGAATTTTATGACATTACATTAACCCCTCACTTTGCCACCTTTCTTTTTTAAATATTATTCTAGGCCAGTGATGGCGAACCTATGACATGCGTGTCAGAGGTGACACGCGAACTCATTTTTTTGGTTGATTTTTCTTTGTTAAATGGCATTTAAATATATAAAATAAATATCAAAAATATAAGTCTTTGTTTTACTATGGTTGCAAATATAAAAAAACTTCTATATGTGACACGGCATCAGAGTTAAGTTAGGGTTTTTCAAAATGCTGACACGCCGAGCTCAAAAGGTTCGCCATCACTGTTCTAGGCATTGAAAATCCAGGTACTTTACAACTAGAAAGGTTAGGACTCTTGAGATGGTGTTTGAGAGGGAAAAAACACTACCAAAAACTACAAGAAAACCAAAGAGCCAGGAGAGCTAGAAGGGATTGCCTAAACACTGAAACCTCAGATACAGTGGTCCAATTGGACACAAATGAGGACCATCTTAGATTCTATTCAGAAGCAGTTTTGTTTTAAGTACATGTAAGTATCACTTGGACTTAGTAATACAGTGACAATAGACTCAGACTCCTAAAATTTGGGTTAAAGTCCCAGCTCTGCCTTCCCATTTTATAGCTGAGCAAAGAACAGTCCTGAGGAGAAAGTATTAACTTATTTGGGACTGTCAGAGATAATGTAAAAAAAAAGAGAGATTAAAAAATATAAAGTAATATACACTGAATGTATTATAACTAGTATGTTTTAGAATTTTATGACATTACATTAATAGATTATTAACGTTGCTAGAAACCTCAGAGAGGGTTGTGAATGCGAATGGATGGCTACAGCTCCTGTTCATTACTCTCTGCTAGGCTGTGTTGCTGTGTCTGCTGGATCTGTTTCCAGTCCTGGAGAAAGGCCTGCACTGGAAGGGAGGTGCAGCTCGACCCACCACACACTGCGATGAGGTCCTGCAGCTGATCCTGACCCACATGGAGCCAGAGCACCGCATTCTCTTACGCAGGACCTACGCGAGGAATCTGCCAGCTTTTGTGAAGAGGTGAGTGCTCGGCTGCTGGTTGGCCATACTCCAGACTGCATTCCTTTGCTGTCACATTTTCTCTTTTGTTTGTAGGCTGGGGATCCTGACCGTCCGGCACCTGAAGAGGCTAGAGCGAGTCATCCTTGGTTATCTGGAGGTTTATGATGGGCCAGAGGAGGAGGCGAGGTTGAAGATATTGGAAACCCTAAAACTTCTCATGCAGTATACTTGGCCCAGGTATAACAGCCAGCAGACATGTGTGGTGAGAGGGGCAAAGCTCAGATTTCCTCTTCAGAACTTGACCAGATGTCCATGCAGTGCAGAGTGTTAAGGATGTGCCACGTATACCTCCCATACCTATTGAACTGAGGAAAATGTCATTTAAAAGATAAACTATACCCATTGTTGCTTCAGGTGTACATCTCTCTAGATTAATAGGCACATTAAATTTAAAAGGCCACGTAGAAATGCTTCAATAAAGACAGTCCTAGCTTTGTTCATATTAATGTTTTTGATATCCAGTTGGGACCAGAGCACTTCATAGCACAATACTGAACAGTGATCAGAATACCAGGTTAGAATCTGATTGCTTAGAGAGCATTGCAACTCTGGCTTGAAGTAGGTATTGGGAACAGTAAACTGGTATTCAAACATGTTAAGTCAACAGAAGGCTTTCTTTTTTTTTTTTAATCCTCGCCCAAGATTGTTTTTATTGATTTGAGAAAGAGAGAGAGAGAGAGAGAGAGAGAGAGAGAGAGAGAGAGAGATAAATGTGAGAGAGAAACATGGATTGATTTCTCCTGTATGGGCCCAGACTGGGGATTGAATCCAAAATCTAGGTGTGTGCCCTGACCGGAAATCAAACCCACAACTTTTTGGTGATGGGACAACACTCCAACTGAGCCAGGGCAACAAAAGGCTTTCTTGCATGAAATAACAAAGTTTAATTCATCTAGAGTCCAGTGCCTTAACTACATACATATCTATTCTGAACCATATTATTTCATTTCTTTATAATGTACCCAAGTGTTTCCCTAGGTCACATTTGTAACCAGGTTGCATTTGTTTACTCTTTCTCCCTACGGAATTATAGGCTCCAGGAGGATGAAGACCACTTTGGTATACTGAGCGTACCAGAGTTTACTCAATACCTGGTATTAGGTGCACAAATATTTAAAGAATGTAATAGATGGACAAATGAAACTGAATCATACTAATACTGTCAGGCCTTTAAAGAGCAGAGACCAAGATTCAAAGTAGAGAGATTGGTAAGGGTTAGAAAGTGAATGTGATGTATTGTGGAGGGGTGGGGCTTGGGAAATAGCAGATTACATATTAAATGATGACAGGTAGAAGGCTAAGCCATACACAGATTATAGGAAAACATTTCATTTTTTAGATTAAGACAGGGGATGCAAACTTTTCCATCATGTTTCTGCCTATAATAGTTTATTATGCATATTTTCACACTATGTTAAAATTACTTTCCAGCTGCCATGAAAGTTTTTTAGTTTTTATTGTGGTAAAAAACATACACACAAACATATACTATTTTAAAATGTACAGTTCATTAGGTACATTTCCAATTTTGTGCAACCATCACAATTTTCTTAGAAAGGCTAATAAGCATAAGTGAATAGGACGGGTTTCACTGATTGATAGAAAATTCAGATTGACACTTAAGTCCCTGAAGCCAAGCTTATGTCCTCTTTTTAACTTTCTAGCCTGAGACTGCATAAAAGTTAAAGGATAATGGGCTACTTCCTGTTCTCTGGCCGAAAGTGTGGGACCCTGGTGAGGGGAAATCACAGTTCCCTTTTCAGGAGCGGCTGTTTCCTTAGAGTGGAGGCAGGCTTCCAAAGGGGAACAGGCCAGGGTGTGTGTATGGGCAGTGATTAGAGAACAGTGGGGCCTGAGGAAATCCAGTCTGGTTTCTGGTTCTGCTTCCAGCTCTTTGTCATTTGACTTTCGTTCCTTCATTTGTGGAGTCTCCAGTTTAACATCCTGATTTAGAGTATGAACAGTTTTTCTTCTTGATTCCAGAGTTTCCTGTAGACTTGTGGTCTTACTGAAGGCTCTCTTGAAACTGATATGTGATGTAGCAAGGGATTCAAGCCTTACACCGGAGCCTGTTAAGGGTGCTTTATTAGAGGAGGCCACAGACTGCCTGCTTCTCCTGGACCGCTGCTCTCAAGGACAAGTGAAGGTGAGGGACAGTGTGCCACGTGGTTTGAGTTAGGCCTCATTATCCTTAAGTCCTGTTTGCTATTCATGTGTCTGACCAAGTCTGTAAGTGAATGTGGAGGGTTCAGGTCTCCATTTCTGGAGCCCTCTAACCTTCTATAGACTTTGAGCAAAGGTATTCAGAATTGTTCAGATCAACAGGCAGAAGGATTAGAAAATATCTCTGGGGTCTTCTCTCTTGTAACATTTCTCGAGCCAAAGCAGAGCACCACCTAAGCCATGTTTCTTCTATCCTAATTTCTTCCTTGGTTACATTGTTCCCAGCATTAATGAACATATTCCCCTCACGCCCCTACCCCCCCCCCCCCCAAAAAAAAAGAGAAAATATCTCTGGGCCTAGGATAGAAAATGGGCAAAAGGATCATGATCAAGTGTTTGTAAATTCTGTTCCAGTTAAAAAAAACAGGCCCAGCCATGTGTGGCTCAGCAGATGAGCAACGACCCAGGAACCAAGAGGTCACCAGTTCGATTCCTGGCCCTGAATCTGGTTCACTGAGCACTTGCGTTTGTGTTCCAAACCCTGTACAACATCAACTTTGCAGAGGGCCCTCTTGCACTCTGGAACCCCTCAGGGGATGTAGGAGAGCCAGTTTCAGCCCGATCCCTGCAGGCCAGGCCGAGGGACCCCATTCATTCCACAAACGCCCGAGCCACAGTGCCACCCCAGGTGCGGCTCATCATGGACGGACCGCAGGAGGTTGGCTCTAAGGTGTGTCCGGCCTGTCTTGCCCAGTCCTGCCCCACCAGCCACCTTCTAATTAATTTCCTTTCAATGTGCATGAATCCGTGCACCAAGTCACTAGTAGCATATAATAGCTATGTGTGTGTTTATATATATTTAATAAACTATTGCCTCATTTCTTACCCCATTAGAAGTCTTCATTTGAAAAGGTGTAAGGCAGCATGAAAAGAAATTCATATCCTAGAAATACTTAGAGATAGCATAGTTTCTTGTTTTATTAGTTTATTCAGATTAAAATTCATCTTTGCTCTTTAATTTCAGGCAGTTTTCAAGTCCTAGATCACATTTAATTCATCTCAGCTAGTATTAAGCTGCTGCTTCATGAGCCATTTCCAAGCATGCCAACAATTCTTAGTTATACTTGTTCTGCGAACTGTCCCCTAGTGTCATCTATTCTTTCCTTCTTTGAGTATGAAACCAAGAAAGAAGAACCAAGGTAAAAGGAAAAAAAAAATTACCAAAAAAAAAATAAAAATAAAAGCTTGTTTGGTTTCATGTTTCAGGGTCTCCTGGCTAAAATTCCCCAAAGCTGCGAAGACAGCAAGGTGGTGGAGTGTGTCAGAAAGGTGCAGCTGGTTTCTGAAGGCGCTCCCTACAGTGGAACTTAAAAACTTTGCAGTATTTTCCTAAAGAGAAGAGGATTTTCTTTTTGTATAAATGGAATTATTTAAAGAAAAAGGTATTTTTGTACTGAACAATATAATTTAGATCTTTTTCCTTCTTGTCTTTTACTCCTTATAGAAGTAGGCAAAGAACAAGAAAAAAACTGAAGTCTGGACATTTTTGAATAAAGTTTTTTTTTTGGGGGTGCACCTAAGGTGGCTACCATTTCTAAACTAGAGGCCCGGTGCATGAAAATTCATGCACTGGAGGTCCCTCAGCCTGGCCTGCCCCTCTCACAGTCTAGGAGCCCTCAGGGGGCGGGTATCAATGCCCCCATCACACCTCTGCTGCTGCAACTGCTGGCAGTGCAGTCCTTGGCTGGCCCTGGACGGCTGGGGGAGTAGCTGGCCCCGCTCCTGCTCTGGGCACCACCATGTTGTAAGGGTTATGGTCAATTTGCATATTGCCTCTTTATTATATGATATTTACAATCACAAACTCATCTGTCAAGCTATCACCTCAACACAATCCAAAGCTATAAAAATACTCTGTTTACAACTTGAAGGATTTCCTTCACTCTCCCCCAGATTTCTTGCTCTACAGAAGTGGCATAAATATAAAAAACACAAATATTGTGTTACATACAAAACAAAGAGTAAAAACTGGAGGTATGTATGTGATGACGATAGGATAAAGTTCAAAATGTTCAGTCCTGTTACAAATGTCTGAACGTAGTTCACGTGGTTTTGGCCTTGGCCACAGGCTCCGTCTCCTGCTCATACTCAATCTCCACATAGGCTCGTTTTCTCCGCAAAGTTCCTTTCAAGGGTGTTTTGCCTTTGTGTTTGGCGTCAAGGGCCTTTTCTTCTTCCTCACTGGAGGATTTCTCACCCTCATCTTCATCACTGCTGGCATCCAGTTTGTCCATATCCTAGCATGGGGAGGAAAGAAGTAAGAGCAGGGAAGACACTAGTAGACTCATTCCCCAAACTCCATTGTCCTCTCAATTTTGAACAAACTAGAGGATTTATCTGCCTCTGTGTGTTTGGAAACCCTTCATGTCACCCATAAATCTCACCTCAAAGTCACTTATGTCACTCTCATCCACCTCATCAGCTTCCACAAACTCTCTTTTTCCCACATCCTAAAATAAAACATAACTGTTAGGTCAAAATACATGATGAAAATTCAACTTAGACAACTAGTTTTATGCAGTGGTTCTCAACCTTCTGGCCCTTTAAATGCAGTTCCTCATGTTGTGACCCCCAACCATAAAATTTTCATTGCTACTTCATAACTGTAATATTGCTACTGTTATGAATCATAATGTAAATATCTGATATGCGGATGGTCTTAGGCGACCCCTGTGAAAGGGTCATTTGACCCTAAAGGGGTCGTGACCCACAGGTTGAGAACCACTGTTTTATAGTCTTTGATAAGTAAATGCATAAATAACAACTAGAATCAGTATTTACTTGCTAGGCAACTCAAGTCTACCTATTTTCAAGTATAATACTTCTGAAATCAGTATTTAAGATTTACAAACATTCAACTAAAATTATTAATTTCAAATAATCAAAAACTAGTTTAGTAATAGGAAAAGTATGCTTCTGTACCTATGTGAGTGAGTATACTGTGTGGCTAACCATCTACTTGCTAAATCTGCCCTTCTAAAAAGACTATGTTAATAGTAAGATTAAATCCTTTTAACTTTCAGTAGGTTCCTTAATGGTGTATTCTTACAGATGATGAAGGTTCTTCCTTTGTCTTTCACAGGAAAAGTATTAGAAAGCCCATCAGTAAGATTAAAATTGTCAATGCATATTTGGTTAGCTGAACCTGGAGAACACAGAAGCCACTGCTGAACCAGAATTAACCTCACGATAGAAAACTAAGATCATTTCATTACTTTTGGTTAAGAGACTGAAAATGACAGCCTGTCTCTCAAAATAGATCTAGTCCTATAGCTTACTGCTGGACAAAACAAAAATACAAGCAAGGCTTACTTCCTCATCATCTTCATCTTCTTGTTCCTCAGCATCTGAAGAGTCACTCCCTGCCTCCTGCTGTTCCAGGGCCTTGTCGAAGGCATGGATGGGGAAGTTGTAGATGTCGCCATACTGAAGAACACACAGATTGGCTTTAGCTATATTTGAATCTCACACTTAAAGTCCACTGTCCAACAAGCGTACTTTTTCCTCAGTGAAATGAGGATATTTAATTTGATGAGTAATATTTCTATCTTGTTTTCAAGTCTAGAGCTGGCAGTGTCTTTAAAAAGCCCATTTTAACATTTAAATAATTAGTGGTTAATACCAAACTGGTAACTTCTATGAAGGATGGAAGAAAAATCACTTAAAACTTAGTAGTCTATAAAACCCAAGGAGTAGGCCAGATGTAAAATTTTGCTGATAAAGGGGAGTAAAGACAAATTTTTTATTCATACTGTCTTTATAAATGACATTAAATCTTTAAAAGAGGAGAATAGACAGGAGGGTCAGAACGATGGTTTTTGCACAGAGATCTGGAATTGCTGCGTTTGGGAACAGGAGTTGGGAATAATGGCAAAAGCGAGAGAGAGGTCTCGTACCGAATGGAGTATCAAGAACAACCAAAGCATCTTATGTGCTGGCATCAACGAACTTAAATGAAGAAGCCAGGACCCATATGTTATTTGTTCCAGGAATAAAATCATGGTGAACATCTAGCACCTTTAAAAATAAGACCCATTTCTCACTAGTCCCACATTTCCTAGCATGATAGTACCACCTAAAACAAAATCCGTACCCCAAGCTCCTAGCTTTCTCACCGTATCTTGTTTAAGTCTCTCCAGCAATTCCTTTTCAATGGCATTATCCAGCTGGGCAGCTATTAATGCCTTTTCCTGTAAGAAAAAGAGCAAACCCATTTACCTCACTAGTATTCATTTTCTAGCCCGTACAAGAAGAAGAAACTATCAAGTTTTTATAAGAAAGAAGATGTAATCACTTCTCCCTCTTGCTATTATGGGGGCTTCTGCCTCTCCAACCAGATGTATTACTTTACCTCTCATCCCTTCTTGGTAACCTTTCAATGTAAAAAATTCCTAAAGTTTTTATAAATAGCATTTTAAATTCTAAAAAAGCCTTTGATAGATATACAAAGCAGGTAGGTCTACATACATTTAAGTGGCTTAGAAAATAAGCAATCCTGAAGCAGACTCACAGAAAAGGGAACAGAGACCCTCATTCGTTTACGTTTTCTAATACCATAGTAGACCCCTTGATACAAAAAAGAAAATCTCTTCCTTCAGTGATCTCTCACAGGAAATGATACATGGCATCAACCTGTACCACTCACAACCAAAACATACAAATCTCACCTCAACCCGCCTTTCTAGCCTAAGATTGTGCATTAATTAGTGAAAATCATAGAGGATTTCAAAGTGTTACACACTGAAGCTGTGTTAGCATGAAGAACAGTGTCAGATAAATCACAATGCAGAAGACTGGGGCACATGGGTTAATTAAAAGTCTACTGTGGTGGTCTACATCATTCTCTAAAGTAGATGCTTACACCTCAAAGACTGATCCAGTGAGATGTAGGAAGAAAATACTCAGAACTTAAATGTTACAAATATTTTTTATGCATACTGACATTGATGACTTGATCTGTCCACAGAGCAAATAGTTGTGTCAGATACCGTGAACAAGATAAAACAAATATCTATATGTCAGATAGAGTGAACATTTGCCAACCTTTTTAAAATGACAAATGGTTGTCTGTATTATGTAACGCAGCAGGAGTTTTAAAAAGTAAATACATTTATCTGTTCTTTCAAGAGAAAGGGAATATTTTACCAGTGAGTTTAAAGAAAAAAAACTTGTGGATAGACCACCTTAAGAAGAAAAGGATTACATCTATGTGATATTGCTGAAAACATGTCTCCTACAAAAATTTCAATCCCACAATTTAAAAATCTGGAGACATAATTTCCCAAACCATTAAAAAATCATTTTCCAGAAAGCTTCAAAATTATTTGGCATAAATGGAAAAATTTAATTTCTTCTGAAAGACTTGCATGAACACCTGTTTAACAATTGGGAGTGGAGAATGAAAATAAAGAGCAAATAATCACAATGCACTTCTCTAAGCATCCCTGCCATACCTATCAATAATGAGAGCCCATAAGGACAAATTTATACTCGGATGAGAACCAGGCCATCACAAACAATTACTTATACCTATGAGCGTAAGTATGCATGTATAACACTTATAAATGATATAATGGGAGCATATGCTAAAAATTTTATTGATGGGGTAAGTGATCAAAAAAGCTTGAAGATCAATGATAAAATGGATTTGAGATACAGAACTCCATGGATTAATGGAAACAAAAGCATCAACATTATTAAAGTTATTTCTTGACAGAACTTGACAAATAATCAGGTAAATGTCTATTGCCAGAAAAGAAGTAAGCAAAGCAAATACCTAGAATGAATGGTTGGACTTGTCGGGAAAAGCTAATTCCTGGGTCTTGAAAAGCCTAAGAAAATTCAGCTCGACCGAAGTACCAGCGAGGTGGAGAGGCGGATTGCTCTCTGTGACAAAGCTGGAGTTTCCCGACTAGATTTTCCATGGACAGCAGGCCATTAACATCGCCAGTCGTTACTTTGGTAACAAAGCTGCTCAGTTTACTTCTAAGAAATAATTCCAGTCTGTTCCTTACTAACAATTTCAAAATAATAATGAAAAACACACACCTCAATTTAGTGGCCTAATATGACCTGATGTCACAGGAGTCTAATTAAAGCAATTTTAAAAATTCCATCTAATGTGAATGAGCGTTCTTATATTTCACTGCAAAACTACTAGTGCGTTTGATTAGAATGCTCTAACCCTGCTGAGGGCAATATGTAAGATCAGACATACCAAAATTCTGAATTCTGAAACATCTGACCTCCAGAACTTCAGGCAAGGAGTTGTGGCTCTCTAAGGGATTCTATATGTCTTCCCCATCACACAGATCCCCAAGCGCCCACATTTTAACCTGCCCTGAAAGTCATAATCTTAAAATATAGAATATCAGATATCTTATGCAACTTTTACTGTTATCCATTACTGTTATCCATGGCTTGAAAAGTTCACAGACAATGGTGACTGAATCTTTTTCTACCTACATAGCCCTACTCTCAATGAAATATGAATATCACTATGAATATCAGAACAATACGTTACCTCTCTTCTTTTTTCTCTCCGCTCCACCTTCTTACTCAAAGGAACAAGTTTCCTCCTACAGGAAATAAAACACGTTATCAGAAAACTCAACTACATGTGCTACGTGTTCCTTTAAAAAATGAGAAGGATTGGGATTCATTTTGTAGGATTCAGATCAATACAGCAAGATTATATACTTAAAATTTTCTAGATAAATCTAATGCTATAAAAAATCAAACATTTTTGTATCTACTTTAATGTGGCTGTTTTTGTTTTCTTGAGGCGTTCTGACACTTCTAAGGACATTCACTATGCCAACAATGCTTCAGTGAACTAAAAGGACTTTGTTGTAGAAGACTGACAGCTTTAGTATTCTCCATTAAGTCTGGATTTCATGTCTCTTTTAAAAATGAGTTTGCACTGTACTCAAAGTAAAGTTCTTACATTCCTGTTCATTCACATTTTTAGGTCATTTTAAAATCCCCCCCATTTTAAGGTTCCTGCAGGGAGTTATAAACAGAATGTTCTGAAGCTGGTTTTCAGACAGGGAGGGGATAATCAAGTTGTACTATACTGTTTTTAAATTCCTGCAAAATCGAAGGGCACGCCTTTAACCTGAGGTGAAGCTTATTCTTAGCATACCACAAAAGGCTACCCCAAGTTGAATTTTATTATACTATAACAGTATTACTAGAGGTTTCACAACACTGTTTCATAATATGATCCATGAAAAAATAGATGTAAAAATAAATAAATGATCTAAATACTTACTGTCGCTTTAGTGTAAGTTTTCGAATTCGAATTAGGTACTGGGTGATCTTGGTGAATCTCTGCTTACACTTGTGTCGAATGAAACGGGGCCAGTAAATTAGATTTTCATCTATTTGCTCCAGTGCTTTCTCATAGTTTTTGTGAAGCCGGACCTATCAAACAGACAGAGGAAGCTTGAGCCCAGCTGGTGTGGCTCAATGGTTGAGCATCAACCTATGAACCAGGAGATCATGGTCTGATTCCTAGTCAGGGCATGTGCTTGGGTTGTGGCTGGATCCCCATAGGGGGCGTGCAGGAGGCAGCCAAATCAACGATTCTCTCTCATCATTGATGTTTTTCTCTCTCTCTCTTCCTCTTCCTGAAATCAATAAAATATAGTTAAAAAAGAAAAGAAAAAGGAAGCTTGAAGGGCAAGGATAAATGATTAGGTCTTCACTGTTAACAGCACTATGGGACCTAATAAGGATGGCTTCAAAGTTTAATCTAGATATGATCACGGAAGAGGGAAAAATGTGCCATTTTTGCTCTTGAGCAATGGTCACTGTAAAATTATGTTCCAAGTCTTACCCGTTCCCAGAGCCGCCTAGGAAAAGCTGCTCGTTCTATCACCTTCATGTACAGGAAGCACTGTCCTGCGGGATAAAGTAAATACCTTTAATATTATCTAGAGACTAAAGAACATCCTTTGAAAAGCTGCTGAGTGGTTCTCATGAAAGGTGGAACCGGGCCTTACCTTTCTCTTCTTTGATAGTGGCATACTGACTGTTCGCCAGGGGACAGGACGACCGGTTACACAGGCCAGTCAGGCTGTACTCATTTCTGCAAAAGCCCTGTGTCTTGGTTCTAGAATGCGAGGAACAGCAAGCATTACTTACAAGACGGGTTACCAAGAGGGCAACTAAAGGAATCTTTGTCCAAGCTGCAAATCTAGACTCACCTTATCTTGAAGGAACAAAATTGCTTGTTTCCTAGTGTATCCCAGATAACCTGCAAGACAAAGTATAAACCCATTTCAATGGCTCTGACCCAATAGGTGGCACGGTAATCCAAGAAACAATGCCCTAGGGCAGTGCCCTGCTTTACTGAGGAAAGAACTCTTTGAGGAATGAGGAAAAAATGCTTTGTAAAATAGTCTGACTTCTTTTCTTTACACATATAACAGATCCTTATAGAAAAAGTAAATACAAATTAGCAATAACCATAACCCATTACCCAGATATTTCATTATTATTTTGTAAATATTTTCAACTTTTTCTGTATGTGTATACTTTCCAAGAACTAGTATGCCTATATGTATGTTTTCAACAAAATGAGGTCATATTATATATTTTGTAACTTTCCTTTTCTACTCAAAATGTTCACTATCCAGTGTAAAAGGCTGCACAGTACTAGACTTTTGGAAATACATACAATTTTTCATTGAGGGCAAGAAAAATATCCTATTGCTATCCTCCACTAATGTGTTTTTTTTAATAATTTTTTTATATTTTTAATTTTTTTTTAGAGAGAAAGAGGGAGAGAACATCAATTTGTTGTTCCACTTATTGATACACTCATTGGTTTATTCTTATGTGCTCTGACCCCGGATTGAACTGGCAACCTTGGAATATCAGGATGATGCTCTAACCCAGTCTGCGAACCACTGGTGGTCTGTGAGGTTCGAAAGGTTGGCGACCGCTGCAACCAACCGAGCTACCTGGCCTGGACTAATGTGTTCTTTATTCATCCAGCATTTAGTGTGTACTAATTTATGTAAGGCACTGACACCCCCAAATCCTGACAAACAGGAGGCACTGGAGTACTTGTTGAATGAAGGAAGGTCTAGTCCTTAAAGGGTGTTATCTATCTAGTTAGGGAGAAAGACACATACACAAAGCAGCAGTCCAAGTACCAAAGAGGTGTAGATTGTATGAGAGCCTCTGAGCGAGCTGCCCTGAGGAACTGGGAGAGGCTTTAAAGTAGCTAAAGGGAAAAACACAAACATAAAAGAAGGGAGTAAACGGTTTTTGGAATTTTGTAGGATGTGTTTGGCAGGGGATGGAAGGAAACAGGTTAGAGGAAATGAAACTGGAGAAGTAGGACTCAATCAGGTTGGTGGCTTTAAATATCTCTAAATTATGATTCCTAAATTTTTATTTCCGGGTCAAACTTCTCTCCTGAGCACCAGACTCGTATATACATCCAGATGCTACTTGACATCTCGGCTTGGTGGTCTAAAAGGCATCATGCACATTAACATGTCCACATGGAGCTCTCGACTCCACCTCTTTCAAAAGAATACTGTGCTCCTCCCCCAGCCTTCCCCTCTCCAGAAATAAAACCACCACTCAACTGTTTGTTCAAATCAAAATATCCTTGATCTCTCTTTTTTCATTTAACCCATCGCCAAGTCTTTTCTATTAAACCTCACATTTATCCATTTCTTTTCATATCCGCCATGACTACCTTAACTGAAGCTTCCTTCATGATATTCTAGTCTCCTGGCTTCCATTCTTTCTCTCCTTCAAAAACCTTTCACACAACTAGAGAACTTCACACAATTGTAAACCAGATGTCATTTCCCATGGAAACCCCTAAGAACACTTCTTACAAGACTTCACATGCTCTTGGTGTCCTTGAATATATTCCTTCTCTCTTACCTCTGGATCTTTGTACTTGACGCTCCAACTGCCTGGATTGACTGCTTTTAGCTCAGCCCCTCCGTGGCGGGCCATTCTCATCCTCTAGATCTCAGCTCAAAGGTCTTCTATTCAGGGACACCTTCCCTGATCAGGCCTATCTGACGTGGTCTCTCCCAACTGCTCTCTACGCCATCACCTCTGGTCTTTCAAAGCCCCGTGAGGCCCCGCAATGGTCCTTGTTAGTTCACTCGTCTCCCCGACAGAGGGCTCCGGGGAAGCAGGTCGTCTGCCTGGCTTATTAACAACCACACTCTAGCCGAAGCCGGTTTGGCTCAGTGGATAGAGCGTCGGCCTGCGGACTGAGGGGTCCCGGGTTCGATTCCGGTCAAGGGCATGTACCTGGGTTGCGGGCACATCCCCAGTGGGAGATGTGCAGGAGGCAGCTGATCGATGTTTCTCTCTCATCGATGTTTCTAGCTCTCTATCTCTCTCCCTTCCTCTCTGTAAAAAATCAATAAAATATATTTAAAAAACAAAAAAAACAACCACACTCTAGGAATGACCACCATCCTGGCACACCGCAAGCACGCAGGTATTTCTCCTACACATGACTCAAGGAATGAATCTAGGATGCTTCCAAAACCGTAACTTGGACAGACAGTGGGACACATGTAAAGAAAAACCCACACCCAGCAAAAGCAGACGAAAAGTAGGGTGCACATGCATGAAAAGGATCCTTAAAGTGGATGCCGAGACTTCGCCGTATCGCCCCCCTGCCAAACCCCGCCCGCCCCCCGAGTCTCCCAGGCCCAGACGCACAGCCCGTCATTGCTGGGCACAGGGGCTGCAACCGCCGACCCTTTGGATTGGGGGGGGGGGTGTTCTGGCCCCCTAACCCCGCTGGGGCCACGGGCTGGAGGTCCAGGGCAGACACGTGAGAGCCCCACGCCCGGAAACCGGAAGCCTCGCTTCCGAAGCCACACGAGACAGGGGGCGAGCTGAGTATGCGCCTCTGAGTCGAGACACCCAGTCTCCCTGCGAGACACCCAGACACCCTGCGTAAACCCCGGGTGGCAGAGCACAGGACACTCACATCATCGGACTGCATGGTGCCGGCACTTCAGCGTGCGGAGCTGGCCAGATCCCCGGAAGCAACCATGCTTCTTCCGGCGACTCACTTCCGGAACGCCTTAGTCTCACCTACCGCGAGAGCTCCGCGGTCTCAGACTGGCAGACAGCGCCGCCTGGCGGTGGGACGTGCGCGCGCGCCTTCCCGGCCCCCCGCTCGATCCTCCCGTCACCGCGCGCTCACCGCTGGGCTTGCCCGGCTTCGCCGAGGGCGCAGACGCGGCTCGTGGCGCGGAGCAGCCCGCGGAGGAGGAGCCGAGTCCCTGAGCGCGGAGCCGACAGCGGCCGGCGCGCCCTGGTCCCCAGCCTCCCGGGTGCCGGGCCCTGCAGGCGGGTCAGGGCTACTTTGCTTGTATCCTCCGTCCAGTGAGTGGGTCTCTGAGTCGGTCCTGGTAACTAGAGACCCTCGCGCCCGCAGACATTTGTTTGGTGCGGCATGGGGTCCAGGTTTTAGAAATTCAAACATTTTCGAAGGACTAACAACTTTTTTTCAGCTTCATATTTTGACGGAGGCGGGGAGGGTAAACACCTTTACTAGTTCATATCGTTTTTCAAAAGAAAGGCCATTTTAATACCAAAAGAGTCAGAGAGGCACAATCTCAGAATAAGCATGGGCCCCGGCTTTGCATGTCACATACAGCAATTCAATGTGTTGTAAGTGATTGTGCTGCAGGCAGGTGAAACCTCTGAATGAGGACCACCCTGCTAGACAGCATGGTTTCAACACGGATTTTTGGAGCCCAGCTTAGGTTATAAAAACCAACTGGCGTTAACTAAATATCTTTGGGCAAGTCACTTAATCTTTATCAAACTTTTTCATGTGAATAATGGGGTTGGCTGTGTGTTAAACCCATGGTTTACATTGATTCATAAAAAAAAGTTTCCCCGGCCGGTCTGCTCAGTGGTTGAGCTTGCCCAGGAGACCACGGTTGGATTCCCCGTCAGGGCACCTGCCCGGGATGTGGGGTCGAACCCAGTAGGGGGCGTGCAGGAGGCAGCCGGTCAATGGTTCTCTCTCATCATCATGTTTCTATCACTCTCTCCCTCTCCCTTCCCCTCTGAAATCAATACAAATATATTTTTAAAAAGTTAAGCATCTTTTCACATATTTATTGGCTCGTCACTTTCCTTCTTTGTGAAGTGCTGTATAAGTCTTTGGCCCCTTCCTTCCCCTTTCTTTTTTTTTAAAATATTCTTTTTTTTCTTATTTTTTGAATATATATATTTTATTGATTTCAGAGAGGAAGGGAGAGAGAAACATCAATGATGAGAATCCCTGATTGGCTGCCTCCTGCACGCCCCCTACTGGGGGGGATCGAGCTGGGCATGTGCCCTTGGCCGGTATTAGGCCGATGCTCTATCCACTGAGCCAAACCAGCCTGGGCTCCTTCCCCCTTCTTACTGGATTCTTCTTTTATTGCACTGTAGGACTCCTTGATGTATTCTGGATACGCACTCTTTGTTAGACAAATACATTGCAAATATCCAACTTATCAATATTGTCCTTTGTATTTGGGGTTTTCAGGAAGTTGATGCCATGACGATCAACCCATTTTTACAGAGAGGACAATTGAGGAACTTGGCAGGAGAGCTCTGAGGGACCAGGGCCAGCAATCACGCTCCGGTTCCTGCCGGTGAGTCCAGCGCTTGCAGTGCCTCCTCGGATGTTGACCCTGGGAGCCTCCCTTGCCCTGAGTCAGTCCCAGCCCTCCCCCGGTCTTGCATTGCTTCCCCAGCATTACCACCTCCTACTAGACCAGGGCAACGTCACTGTCGTTGGGTTATCTGGATTTGGAACTCAGTAGCTTGAAGTCAGTTTTACTTTCCCAGTAAACACCCAAATGATCATCCTACTCCGGCTACCAAACACTGGTCCCTGACTAAAGGCGCTCAGGCCTCTGCTCTGCTTAGCAGATTCTCACTTTTCCCCTGCAGGTGGCTTTGCATACGCTGCAGTCTTCCTTGAGTTGGAGAAGCAGAAAGTGCCCTGGACTTGCTTTAGATCAGCGGTTCTCAACCTGTGGGTTCGTGACCCCTTTGGGGGTGGAACGACCCTTTCACAGGGGTCGCCGAAGACCATCGGAAAACACATATATAATTACATACTGGTTTTGTGATTAATCACTATGCTTTAATTATGTTCAATTTGTAACCATGAAAATTCATCCTGCATATCAGATATTTACATTACGATTCATAGCAGTAGCAAAATTACAGTTATGAAGTAGCAACGAAAATAATTTTATGGTTGGGGGTCACCACAACATGAGGAACTGTATTAAAGGGTCGCGGCCTTAGGAAGGTTGAGAACCACTGCTTTAGAAGAAGGTCTCCGGAGCCTCCCAGGAACTTTGGGGAAGGGCTGTGCTGCAGGGCCGGCCTGGAACCGAGGTCCCACTTGCTTTTAAAGAGGAGGCGTCCGTGAAAACCTGGATCCAGGATCGCTGGGCCTGACTGAGCCGAGAGGTATCCCGCCTTCCCCAAATCTCCTTTCCGAGTCTTCGCCACAGCTCCAGGGGTGCGAACTGAAAGTGGGAAACCCCGGTGCCCAGCGCGGAGCGAGCCTCCTGCACCGAGAAGAGGTGAGTGCGCATCCCTCTGGCTCCCGTGGAAGCCTGGTGGGGGCAGGGTCTCGGTGCCGAGCAACACAGGCCTTTCTGGTGCCCACGGCGGCTGGGGCGCAGCCCGCGGGACTCACGGCAAAAGGAAACCTCTTTGTGCCCAGAGGGAGTGTAAGAGGAAGACGGAGTTGTGTGCTGTTTTTGGAAACCTTGGGCAGCGCTTTCCAGGGACTCTGCCCGACTTTGAAACCTCTCTGTCTGCCGAAAAAGCCCGGGTGGGAGGCAGGTGACACGCAGGGGCCCGCTGGAGCCCAGGGGGCGGGGGCAAATGGTTCCAACTCCTGGGAAGGAAGGCTTTCTGGTACCTCCCCTCTGCCAGGATCTTCCCAGTCTCACCAACGCCAGAACCTAACTCTGCCAGTGTGTACGGTGAATTGCTGCCCCCTCTCCCCAGGTCTTCACTGAGAGTCACTTGTTGCTGGGAGTGTGTGCGGAGGCAGCGATTCCCACTGCCCAGCGGTGCAGAGCACAGTGCATTTAATGGAGAAAATGCCCAGGGCGAGCCCCCAGGACAGCAGGCTTTGGGTACCGATACCTAAGCCATTTCCTGGGTATTTTTGTGTGCAGTTAGTGTCCTAGAACAGACCTCATTTTGTGTAAGATATAGAAATAACACTGGTGTGATTATAAGACAGTTTCTGGGGATCTTTTAATGAGTCTTTAATATATAGCAAATATATACCATGCAAAAGGACTTTTTCCTAACACCATGGCTTCAACAGGCCGCTCCCTACGCAGTGCACCAGCTCCCCAACATAGTTGGGGAGAATGTTCTATGAGTTGTGGCTTGGATTGTTGATTTCATTTGTGGAATGCATTCAATGCCCTAGGGCTGGGCACAGTTTTGTGTATGGTAAGTTGGTCTTCAGGACCTCATTCCCTTATATGTCCTTCCTTCTCTCAAACTGGGACACCCCCAGAGCTGTGACCCATCTTGGGCTTGCTAGTGACCTCACACTACAACTAGGACGTTGTTCTCCGTGGTCCACCGTGGTCTCTCAGATGCGCCTGGCCATCTGCACTGAATAAGCAGCCCAGGTATTTGCACACCAGAGTGGCAGAGCCACCATCTAGTCAGCACCCTCGCCTCAGTTTTACAACTTTCCCCTCTGTCTGTAAGCCAGAGGCAATGTCTAGCATCAGAGCATCACTTAGGTCCTTTCAGTGTCTGAAATTGCTGTAGTAACTCTTCATTTGCTGGCTTCCTGCTAGATGGCAGTGTCTAATAGTGAATTAAATATACAATCTCAACTGTTACCATTATTATGGCTCATCTTTTATTCTTCAATTTTAAAAAGTAGTATGTTTTCAAGTTTTATCTTACAAACAACATTTCTGAAAAAATTCAAACTCTGGTTAAATTTAGGAAATTTAAAAAAAGTTTGAGAAACAATATCATGTTATTGATATGCAGACATTTTAACACACATTTAAATGCTTCCTAAATTTGAAATGTAAAGAGTTGATTTCAGCAAGAAATGCAATACCTAATTCAATTAACAGCATTCTGCAATAAGCGTTTGTTATAATTCCTGAACACGAGTTTTAAAAATTAAAAACAACTTTT